ATATGTAATACTCTTTGTAATATTTTAAGCAATAAAACAAAATTAAAAAAAAAAAAGACACAGATTGGATTAGCTCTTCCTAGAATTAAGCTGGCCCCACTCCCATAGGGGCCCAGCCAGCAACAGGAAATTGGTGCCGTGGATGAGTTATTCTGCTGTGGGGAGTGGAGAGGCTGAGGTGAGTGGGAAAGACCACTCAGTCACGGATGGAGAGCTAGTAGAGAGAAGAAAACATAGCCTCCCGGATCCAATGGAAGAGCTGAGCCAGCTTGCAGAGGAAGGGCAGGGAAGAAGGAGACGCTGCAGGGAAAAGAAGATTATTGTCAGTGTACCTTCCTTCACTCCCCTCCTCTTCACTTAGTCCCATTTCCCATCCCTCAGGAACTCTACCAACTTGGGAACATAAGGATTCTTTTGGAAGCATATTTTGATGCTTAATGTTATTTCCTCCTGCTTCCCTCCTCAACAATAAAGAATTTCACTTTCTCTAGGACATATTCTCTGAAATATACTTTCTTCACTTGAATTACAATGATCTTAAATTTGCTGAGAAAAAGATTCAAATATATTATGTTTTACCTTTCTGATATACAAAGAACTGCTAATGTGACTGCTTCTGGTGCGTTGAATTTGGGAAGAGACTTTTTACTACATTCATTTCTATAGCTTTTAAATTTGGAGCCATGTGACAGTATTACCTATTTTTATCATGTTAAATATACTGAAATTAAAGCAAAATTCACCTCTTTGGAATTAAAGCTGAGTTGGTTTGTTTTTCATTATTTGAATTCCTGATTTGTTTTTAATTTTTTAAAATTTATTTTAGAGAGAGGAAGGAAGAGAGAGAGAGAGAGAGAGAGAAACATTGATGTGAGAGAGAAACATTGATTAGTTGCCTCCTGAGTGTGCCTGGGGATCGAACCCTCAACCTGGGTATGTTTCCTGACCGACAATCAAACCTGCCACCTTTCAGTATACGGAACAATGATCCAACCAACTGAGCCACACCAGCCAGGGCTGAATTCCTGATTTTTTAACTGATTTTTTTTTTCTATCTTAAAAAGGAAAATGTTATTTTTTAAGAAAGTTATTGACAGACTAATTTCTGTATATCCTTTCTATGGAGGTCAAATTGCAGCCCATTCATGAGTCCTCCTTTCCCATAACACCACCACTATAATGAGTCAAAACTACCATTGAACGTCAGGACCATCAGCCAGGGCACTTCTGAAGAAGTCTGAGCGCTCTGCGAACAGCAAGCTCAAATGACCTCTTGACATCTGCACTTAGGAGACCAGGGTTTATGAAATGAAAGGGCTTAAAAAACCATAAAAAATTTCTAAATTTTTATCAAGTCTCTGGAACAATGGAGAAAGTCAGAGGATAGTGTCTGCTATGACGAAGTAACTGCTTGAGCTAAAGCCAACCCTTGGACAGATAAGGGTGAAGGCCTGGGGAGCGGGTGGGAACAGGACACAGTGGGTCAATAAAGTTAAATTTTTAAAAAGTCAGAGGATAGATATGAACGAACACAAACTATCTTAGCTTACCTGAGGCTAACTAGTGATTCTTTCCTAAAGCAAACAGAGCTCTTCAGAGGGAATTCCTGCTCAGTGTTCAGCAAAGGGGTGAAAAAGACAACTTTGAGGTATACAAAGGAATTAATCCTCAGGAAATAACCAAGGTTGTTCCCAAATAGTACTTAGGGAGCTCAAGTCTGCTTTACAGCACTGCAGAAAACAGAATACAAGATAATCAAAATGTTCTGCAATGGGGAGTTGTTAAAATCAATTATGGGACTTTCTGTAAAATGGAATATTATTTAGCCATTTAAGGCCATGTTTCAAAAAATACTTATGATATGCAAAATTTACTTATACCCATATATGTCTATACATAGAAAAAAGGCTGAAAGTATAACCATTATAATAGCAGACTTACAGGTGATTTGTTTTCTTCTTTAAATTTTCCCTATTTTCCACATTTCTAAAATGTATAAGTATTTCATTTACAATTTAATATGTTTTAAATTAACACAGTTTTTTAAACATATGATGAGGAAGATTTTTTTTTTAACTCTGAGGTTCTATTCAGAGTTCAATCCTGCATAAAGTACATGATAAAGTAGATGATAATGACTCAAAGTCTATGTTAAAGAGTCAGCAGGGTAGACTTTTTCCAGACTGCTCTCACAGACCACAGCACTAGTCTCTCCTAGGTGGGCTGGGCCAGCTCTTGCTCAGGTCCAGCAATTCCTCCTTATAGAAGAGATTCAAAGAAATGGCACAGGAGGTACCTCCATCCCCAAGAGGGCTCCCACAGGCCCAGCCCTTGTCAACTGCCCCTTCTCCAGGAAGGGTAGGAGAGGTAGGCTTCATCACTCACCTGGATCAAACCTCACCACCAAGAGGCAGAGAATCAAGGTGGCCAGGAGGCTCTTTTTGAAGGGCAGGGAAACGAAGTGGCTCACTGCAGAGTCCCAAAGCCGGCGAAGCAACATTAGTAGTGACAGAAACTTGTGGAAGGAGTCTGGTCAGGGAGACAGAGCATAACTGTAAGGTAAGTCACAGGAACCAGCTTCCCTAAATCTGAGCTTTGAGCTTGATTATAAGAGTTGAACAGAAGGTAATTTTATAACTCATGTAATTCATAAAGTGGTTCTAAAGGAGATTCCGAAGCTCCAAAAATGTTTTAAGGACTATATCACCACACTATCATCTCCTTAGGGGAGGACTTTGACAGACCACATCTACTCAGCTAGATAAATCTGGCATATTTGGTGTTTTTCTAAATATCCTCACTATTTTATAACATTATTTATATTTTGGCCTAAGATACATGCATAGAGTTACACAGAACAATAAGTCTTGATTATCACAATAATGCAGGAAAATAAAGGGCACTTAGCACACATAGTGAAGAATTCAAAGGTCCTGGATTATGAATATAAACATGAACACTACCAACCCAAGAACAAGTGGTGCCCAGTCCTGATAGGACATCCTGAATTTGCCATCAAACCCCCTTCTGCCTCCTCCTCCCCATGGGTGGAGGGGCAGAGGTCTTGGGTAGCCATAGGTAATCTCTGAAGCCAACATGTCCTGTTTGCAAAAAGTGATCCTGTCTCAGCAGGTTCATGCTCTTTAGCACACACACACACACACACAACAACAACAACAACAACATTTAGGACAACAGTATTACAGTCTCCTACAGCTGAAGGGCTCTTGTGGGGGTAAAAAAAGGACTCAACCTATTCTATGTATTATGACCAATACATTAGAAACCACCAAGGGGGAGGGGGGGACTTAAATTCACGATAAAGAACAATTTCCCTACAGAACTGCCCAGTGATAAAATGAGCTGCTTTAGAAGATAGTGAATCTCTGCACTTAAACGTATTTATGTACAGTCTAGAAGTCTAGATCACTCAAGGAAAAGGAGATGAAAAGGATTAAAGAACCAGGGGAAGGGTCTGGAGTAGAGGAACCTTTAAGTCCCTTTGTAACAAATCAACACCCACACCCACCCTTTTGCAGGTTCCCCTTGTATGATGCTAGCCAGGTGTGTGGTACTGAGTCCTGAAGTGGTTTCTCTACAGAAGCCAGTTTATAAATCTGCGCTCTAATGTGCAGAGGTGGGCTGTCTCTGAAGGGGGTGGACATCAATCACTGGAAAAGACACCCAAGAGGTCTGGTGAGTGAGGCAGATGGGAGACTGAGCAGAGGCACCCAAACTGAAGATAAGTAATTTTTACCTGATAAGTCAAGTTACCAAGTTATCGGGTTAGTTTCTCATTATCTTTTGGCTATCCCCAAGCATACCTCAGCTGTGTCTACATTTGTGCTAGCATTTAAAGGAATAACATCCTACCTAGCCCAGCATAGTACAGGCAAGAGATCTAATGAGAGGACCCCAAGGAAATGGTGACTTTTAGGAGAAAAGAGTCAAGGTCCTGAGACCCAGCAACACATTCCCATATGAAGATTTTCCTTCCACTACCAACTTCAGAGTGTCTGGACTTTCTAAGCAATTCAACCGGTTTCCTATTCTGTGATTTGGGAGTTACTCATAGAAAGAATTGCTCCCAAGCTCCCAGGAATGTCACGATGGACCCCAAGGTCCAGAGGAAAGCCCACAACTACACTTTAAAGAAGCCACAGAAGGATAATATCCTACCTTCCTGGTTTAGCTTCTGGTCCTTCTCAGAGTCAGAGTGTTCATGTTTCTGCTGTTGCCTTGCTATGCTGATGACCTGGAGTACATCCAGCCGTTGCTCCTCACTGAAGGCTGCAGAGCCCACCACTAGCTCCTCAGCCTCCGACAAGCAGCCCAGAGGCAGTAGCACCTGCTGCAGGTAAAGTTCTGCCAAGGCTCTGTATTCTGGAAGGGCCTGATTGTCTGGGTCTTGGATCCAGGCACTGGCCGCTTCTAGCATGGCTCCAGGCTCTTGCATTTTGCTGTATAAAAGAACACTGCAGCCCAAAATAATCCAATCCCACCCCCCCCAGAAAAAAACAGTCAGTGTTCCACAGTTGGTTCATTTCTCATAACCACTATACTCTCTTATCCAACTCCTCCCCTGTGTCCTCCAGCCCTTCCTTATGGAATGCTGACATTGAAAGAATTAGGAATTCCTAGAAAATAGCAAAAAGTTATCACTCTACTATGACACTCCACTCTGTCATCCCATTTCACATTTCCTATTCCCAGTATCTTCTCTCTTCTTCTTTCCTTTAACCCACTCCTAAACCCCTCCTTCCTCATCCTTTAGTGAAAAAAAAAATCAGATTTGGAGGAAAATAGAAGGGGATGTGGAAGAGGAAATATTAGGCACTGATTCAGAAGAGAGCAAAAGTCTTCATTTCTGGAATGACCCAATGAGTCAGTAATAAGGACCTACCACAGCTCCAGGACTTTGGGGGGTAGCTTTTCAGGGACCTGGTAATACTGAAGAACCCAGGAAATAACTTCCCGCCACCGATCCATTTCTGCCAGGGCCTGGATCCCCACAACGCACAAGGAGCATTTCACCTCTAAGGAACTGTCAGCAAAAAAAACAATTCAGGTTTAGAAACAGCCCCCCTCCATTTCCATTCATACCTCCACCCTGGGACTGTTCTTCCCCACCTTCCAATTTAGCAGCCATCACTTCCATTCTCCCCATTAGTATTCAAAGTGTCCTCACAATTACAATTGGTCTCATGGGCCCCAACGTAGAGAAAACTGCCCATTCTCCTAGAAATTAAAAGTTCCTATAAACCTCCTAGAGGCAAATCAACTCTTGCCCAACATCTTTGTATGCAGGTGTACTTTCCCCTTTGTATGCCAGAAAGAGAAAAGTACACCTACAACACAGGTGTGTGGGTGGAAAGAGAGCTGGAACTAACAGTTTGTGTGAAGAAATGGGCATGAAGCCTGAGTGTGGGTATAGGGAATACACTGGCTAGTGCCAGCCAGTGAGGTACCTCCAGGCACCAGGAATCATAGCCTTCAGCGTTTACTGCAACAAGCCCCCATACAACCCCTAAAATCACAACCAGGGCTCCTCAGCTTTGACTATTCTACCCACCACCTCCCTAGTGTGATCTAATCCAATTTTACAACCCAAGGTTTTTCTCTAAATTGATTCTTTAATCCAGTTCTTCAGCAGGACCAGAACCCCATTCCCACTCATCAGCCAAAACCAGAAGTGAACAACTTAGGGATGGGGAGTGTACCTAGGAAAGGACTGAGCCTGCTTAAGAAAATAATTTAACACAATACGCATTCTATCTTCCCATCACGCCATCACATTGGAGCAGGGAGCAAAGAATTGGCTAAGCTCTGTTCAGGGGCTCAGTTTTCTCCTCTGTAGAACGGGCACATCAGCCTGTCAGAGGCTTCCTGTGCACATTCTGGGAATGACCGGTTCCCGAAATGCTGGTCCCTCCCCAGGCAATCCCCGCACGTACGTGCCCACAGGCCAGTCAGCCTGGGCGTAGTTGCTCAGGCTCTGGCCGGCTCGCTCGCAGGTGTGCAGCGCCTCCCGGAAGTCCAGGTGCACCACTAAGTGATCGGCCGCCTCCTCCAGTAGAGCCGCGGCTGCCGCCGGCGACAGGACGACGCGCCCCGTTTCGCTGCTGCTTAGGGCACCCCCGGCCCCCCTAAGGGGAGCTGCAGCTGTCGACGGGTCACTCTTCATAGCAGCCCGGTTCGAGGCCTGTCTCTACAGACGTCCACGTGGCCCCTCTCCCGGGCTCCAGGAGCCCTACTCGGCCTGGGAGAAGTGGGCAGTCCTCACAGCCTTATCCACACCCTTCACAAGGCCGCGACCTGGACAAGGAAGAGAAAGGGGCTATATTCTAAGGCTAAAGCTAGGCTCGCCAGGCACCTGAGGAACCAGTCTACACCTCGGATGTGCAGAACGGCTGCGTGCCTCAAGTACCTGGCCTAGCTTCTCTGCCCCCACAGCGTGTACCGCTGCACCTAAGCCCTGGGAGAATGCGAGTGTCGGCTACTTCCGAAGAACAGAGCACTCCAAGGTATAAACGGTATCTTTCCTGTTCTCGCGGCTCTGCAGCATGGTTTTGGCGGCGCGCAGGACTCTGGGAGTTGTAGTTTTCCGACCCTAGGCTCAGTAGCTCTAGTGATGCAGATGGGCAGATTCGGACTACAACCACCAGCATGCCGCGCTCCCCAAAACTGGCACTGTCTCCGGAGAAAACAAACTGACAGCAGTGCTTTGAGGCCAGGCATATCAAAGGTGAGGTTATGTTCAGAGATGAGTTGGTGCCCTTACTAACCAGACCTGGAAGAGGCCAGACAGAAGAAATTCCAGTAAGGAAATGGAGCTAATGCACTCTTCTGAGCATCTGTAGGGATAGCAATTAAGGCAGACCAGGAAAGGCACTGAAAGGAAACAACAGTTTGTACCGCCTTCCCAGACCCAACTCACATTTATCCAGTACTTGAGTGCCTGGCACTATGCTAAGCGCTTTGCGTGCAATCTTATTTAGTTCTTCCCTCAGAACAATGGTTATCTCTACTTTACAGTGTTGCAGAAGACCAAAGAAATACCAAGCACGCTTCCTAGAGAAAGGGAGGGACCCTGTTTATTAACACTAGTGGACTCCGGGAATAATTTCCAAATCAGAGTGAAGAAACACGCTTTTTATAGCCTTCTGGGGTCTTTGTCTTGCAGATATGGTTCCGCCCCCTTTCGTGGGCTTACAGGAAGGCCCCTGGTGTTGGGGGTCCCCAGGTCATATCCGATGATCTGTCCTGGGGCCAGCGATAACGACCCCCCCCCCCCCCCCCCCCCCCGC